AACTTGATCAAGTGGATAAGATATGTGATTAAGTTTGTTTTTCCTTCAAAGGGAAACTGCCCCTCTCCCCATCTAAGAAAGAAATGTAACACCCCAGAGGAAGTAGTTGATGTCTTACATATGTAAGCCATGTTGGAATAGCTATATGGCATCAAGGACATTCATCCACTAATTATGGCCCTTACACAGGCCAGGAGACAGTAATAACCGGAGCTCCTCCAACATCAGTACATCACAAGGCAACAATTGAAGAAGCTGCGTCAGCTCTATTCAAACAACTTCCCTTTATGGGTTGGTTGTTTTTCTTTCTCCCCCTCCCCCGCCGCCCCGTGTGGGTTTTAGGGAGACAAGCAACCTTAGAGTGATTTGTAGACAAATGGGAGGGGACTACAGAAAAAAGATTTACCTTAGCAAGGTGGAGATTTTTATATGGTCCCCAGGAATAAGATGAATATAGCAAACATTGATGGAACTGAGACAAAGATTCTCAGGCAGCACTATAGGAGGTTGGGTGGACCAGTGAAGGCTCCCTCTGTTCCCTCAGCATCAAGAAGTCCTAAACAAGTACATTCTATTCATCCCAATCATGAGGTAATTAATGATAGGGGACCCCACCCAGAATCACTTGAAGCAGAAGCTCAGATTGATACAGATTGACAGGAAGGCGAGGGTCTTCTGGTCCAACCCCCAGCAGAGGACCTAAGGCCATATATGCATGTGTGGGTAAAATGGCTTGACAGTGGAGAAGAAATCATCTTGGAGCTTCTGGATACAGGAGCCCAATGTACTGTAATCCGCAAACCTATTGATAAAATCTTGAAGGGACTAAAAATTGTATTAAGAGGATATGGGAATACAGCAATTGATTGGACTGAAGTGAAAGTCTGGATGAGAAGTGGAAAATATAAGCAGATGTTGTATACAGTAGCTGCATCTCCTCTACCTGAATGTATTATTGGTATAGATATTTTGCCTACTTATGGAACATTCCCTCTAATAGTTATTGTTAATATTATTGTCTAATAGTCATTGTAGGTGCTGTCAAGTCAAGTACAACTCACAGGGACCCTATGAACAAATAATCTGAACCCTGTCCTATCCTGTGCCATCCTCACAATCTCTGACATACTTGGGCCCATTGCAATAGTCACTGTGCCAATTCACCTGCTTGAGACTCTTCCTCTCTTTCACCGACCCTCCACCTTTCCAAGCATGATGTCCCTCTCCAAGGAATAGCCTCTCTTAGCAATGTGCCCAAAATATGTGAGATGAAGCTTCGTCATCCTTGCCTCCAAGAAGTGCTCTGGATGCACTTTATCCAAGACTTGCTGGTTCTTTAGGCAGCCCATGAGATATTCAGTACTCTTCTCCAGTACCACAGCTCAGAGACATCACTTCTTCTTTCTTCATCTTTATTGTCAGCTCTCAGATGCATAGCAAGTGACTGAAAAGACCATGACTTAAATCAGCCACAATTCAGTCTTAAACTGACATCATTGCTCCTCAATAATTTGGAGAAATAATAATTCTAACTGCATAATTCCCCAGTGCAAACTGTCTCCTGATCTCCTGGCTGCTGGTAAAAAGGTTGTTGATTTTAGATTCAAGTAAGATGAACTCATTGACAGTTTCAATCTTTTCTCCATCTATAATCAGTCTAGTGGTGAGAATTTTTGGGTTTTTGTTGGTAAGATGCAATCTGTATTGAAGGCTGTATTCTTTGATCTTCTGCATCAAGTACTTCAACTTCTCCTCACTTTGAGCAAGCAAAGTTTCGTCATCTGCATATTGATGAATCTTCCTCTGATTCTGATGCTGTACACTTTTTCAAAAAGTCCAGCTTCCTGAGTTATTTGTTCAGCATACAGACTGAATGGGTATGGAGAGAAGATACAACTCTGATTGATGCACACTTTTCTTAATTTTAAACCTTATAGTGTTTAAACCTTGCTTGTTCACACAATAGATTCTCAGTTTAGGTATAGGTTTTTGCATAAGCACAATTAAGTATTGTGAGGTTCCTATTCTTCTCAATGTTAGCCCAAATTTGTTATGATTCAAACAGTCAAAAGCCTTTGTATAGTCCATAAAGGATAAATAGACATTTTTCTTGTATTCTTTATTTTTAGGCAGGATCCATGTGACATTTCTCAAGCTAAAAGAACTGAAATACAAATCCTAGTCTCCAGTTGCAATATTAAAGAACACTATAGACAAAATCTTGAATGATCCAGGAAGCATGAAAAGAAGATAGAGGGAACACACAGGTTAATACCAGATATTGTAGGAAACCAAAACTAGAAAACAGCAATTATTTCTAAGAAGGAGCACTCAAGAGTAGGAAAAGAAGAAATGGTTTTTATTGTTAACACTTTAGACTGTTAGATTTTAATATACTCTATTATCATTTCTGTTAAGAGAAAGAACAACAAAAATCTTTAAGGGTCTATGTGTCAAGTATGTCTAACAATAACAAACAGTAAAACAAATTAAGTCCTTCCCTCCATGAATCAAAGCTTGGGGGACAGAAAGGCAGTATGTCAATTTTATCAATAAAATGACAAGAAAATCCATCTCAAAGAAACTAGATAATTATAGACAATGACAAATTCTGTGAAGGAAACAGGACGAAGACAAGTAAGTTACTACGGAAGCCACTGCAGATAAGGTGGCAACGAATGCATCTTGAAGCAAAGCAACATCAGAACAAGCCTGAAGGACAAAAATAAGTAAATCTGCAATATAAAAAATATGTAAAGTTGCAAAATAGGGAAAGAGAAATTCAGACAGAGGAAAAAATAAAGGTTCAGAGGCAGGGAAAGGCTTGGAATAGTGCAGAAATTGGAGGGACAGAAGACAGACAGTGAGACTGTTGCACTATAGTGAGCACAAGAAAGGAAAGCATGAAATAAGGTAAAAAAAAAAAAAGAAGAAGTAGACAAGAGACAAAAGCTTGTAAAGGCCTGTAAGTCTCAAGGTTAGGAGTCTGGATTTTACTCAAAGAAGAATAAAAAGTCAATGAAGAACTTCAAGCAGGATAATGACATGCCCTGGTTTCTGTTTTTAAAAAGATCATCTGGCCATTTTGAGGAGTAAAACTGCAGGAGGGAAGAGAGGAAACCAGCTATCACACTTCAAACAGAAAACAGCAATGGCTTAGAAAGATGGAGACAGAGGAGGTGGGCAGAGACAGACACATTCAACATAAACTGGAGATGCAGAAACTATAGAATGGTTGTAAGAAAAAGAGGTAATAAGAATGACTTTGAAATTTTGTTTGGGTGAGTGGTAATATCAATTTACAGAGATGGTGAAGACTGAAAGAATATATTTGGAGATGTATGTGACAGGCTGTGGGAGGATATCAAGAGTTCTGTTCTAGAGACACTGACTTTGATATGCTTGTTAGAGCTGAACAAGGTTGGCAGTTTGATATAGAAATATGATGCTCAGAGAAGAAGGGTTATTTGATAGTTTGCTCTTTCCCTCCTTAAAGATCACTTATCCCTTTGATTTCCTGGTCTTTTTTCTATTGCCTATCTCTAAATCTTCTTCTTCCCTTTCCTTAAAGAGTTGGTATTCTGTAGGAACCCATTCTTGCCCCCTCTCTCTTTCTTCTCGATATAGTCTCGGCTGCTCATACAAGTAAAGGATTTCCAAATGCTCATATTAGTGTGACCACAAAATCTGTAAATTCAGTACAAATTTTTCTCCTTAACAATAGGCCTATGTATCAAATTTCTTACTGGATATTGTTACCCGGTTGACTAAAATATTCAAACTTAATATGCTAATAAGTGAAGCAATACTTAACAAAATATAATCAACTCACTGAAAAAAAGTGGGCAAAGGACTTGAACAGTTCACCAAAGAGATTATTCAAATAGTCAACAAACACATGAAAAGATGCTCAATTTCACTAGTCATTAAGAAAATGAAAATAAAAATTACAATGATCTATTATCTAGCTAGCTAGCTAGCTAGCTAGCTAGCTAGCTATCTCTCCCCCAAAAGATATGTTAAACCTGTGAATATGACCTTATTTGGAAACAGGGTTTTTCTTTTGCTACCAGTTAAGTAAAATGAAGATGGATCTTAATCCTAATCACTTTTGAGTGCCATTTTATAAAAGCAAAAGATAGACATAGAAACAGAGTCATATCAGAAAAAAGTCACTATGTGGAAATACAAATAACAAAAGCAAGCCAAGGACTGCTGGCAGCCACTACAAGTTAGGACAGTCTTTCTCCCAAAGTCTCCCAAAGTCCTGACACAGCTTTTAACTTAATTTGGATTTCTAGCCTCTGACTTTTCAAAGCTACCAACCTTCTAGTATTTCGTTATAGAAGATCAAGGAAATGAAGACATCTTTCCAGGCCAAAATACTAGGTTTGTATTAAATCTTTCCCCCATTAAAACAGAACTCAGTATGTCCAGAGTCCTCCCAAGCAAGAAAAGAAATAAATACAAGAGCATGGATTCATCAAGCAGAAGCCTCAAGCACTGATTCGTTACTGCCCCTTCGGAGTCATCTCTCATCACTGTGCTCCCTGCCACAGAGGCTGACAGATGGATCCCACCGCCAGGGGGGAGCCCTGGCAGAAGACTGGAGGGAAAGGGAAATGAGGTCAAGGAATTTTTTTATTCTGATTCTCCTCTTGCAAATAAACCACCATTCTTTCTTCAAGTCCCTGGTATGATACAATTTTATTTCTAAAACAGTAGAGAAGATAGTTTGGGGATTGGAATGGGAGAAAGCAAAGACAATAAGACAAAGTAAAACGACAACTGAAGAGATCGTAAAAAAAATAGTTCTGGATAAGAAGTAAAAGGACTTGAGGGGTGTGCATTCACCAAAGGCCAGTCTTGGTATTTTAAGTTTTTCTGTTCCCAATATGCCTTGCTCCCCAGTGAAAGAAAATATACTCAAGTACACATTATTTCACATAAGTAAGAATGATATAATAAGCAAAAGATATGCCGCGGAATCCACACTTTACCTTATATCCATTATCTTCCTTGCGGTTATGAGATGCAGTAATCATCACACCTGCAACTGCTTTGAGCTCCTGAACCGCATATGGCTAAAAAACAATGACATTATGATTTTGCTGTATCCCTCTGACATGAGATCCATTTTGATTAAACAACAGAAAAAAATATGAACATATTAATGACTTAAATCCTTAACAATCACTCTCAGTCTCATTTTATCTAATAACACAATATTAAAAGTAGTGTAATTCTTTTAGACCAATAGTTTTGCAATAAGTTTTCTGTCCTGTTCTACTTCATTGACTTTTAAGCACTGCTTCCATTTCTGACAAATTAAGAAGATGGCAAGTCTTTCACCACAGAGCTCTCCAAATTATACTTCATGTGTGATTCAGAGTCCATGGGGAAGGTTTAATGGTACCTAAACCAGGAAACATCAGGAATGTCATTTCAGACATGCTAAGTTTTAAAGGCATATTCAAGAACAAGTGTTAAGTAGGGAGTTTTATATTCAAACCTAGAGTCTCAAAAGGACAAAACTGTATAAACTCCTTTACATGAAATTACCAAATTTAAGAGAAACCAAAGGTTACCAGAAGTAAATCGTGGGAAAAGTCTTTGTTGGGGACAGGCATTAAATTTGTTAGTGGTGAAAGAAGATCTTGGAAAAGGATAAAGACAATGGTCACACAACCTTTATTACATAAAATCTTCAATAATTATCTATAAATCATTATGGAAATAACAGACACTCATTTCATAATCAGTCACCCTGTCACATCTGTCAGCGACTGGTCACTGAGCACTTGTTATTTGGTTGTCATACAAAGAGCAAAGGATGTAGCTCTACTGTCTGTTTTTCCCCCAGTAATAAGCCCATATGACATTTTACAAAAATGGATAATCAAAAGAGGAAAATGGCCAACAAAGATCAAAGTACAGGAAGGAAACAAAAGGATTAAATGAATCCAGTAAAAAGTTTTGCATTAGAGAATCCTAAGAGTCCAGGTGGTGAAGTGCATCACATGTTGCGCTGCTAACTGAAGGGTCAGTGGTTTGAATCCACCATCTGTTTACTTTATGGGAGAAAGATGGCAGTTGCCTCACATAAAGGTTTCCTGCCTTAACAACTCAATGGAGGGCTAATATGAGTCAGAATAGATTCAACAGCAATGGGTTCAGTTTTGGTTTTAGGAATTCTAGTTAACACTCTACTTTTAACCAAAAGCCTGACAGTTCAAATCCATCAGAAGCTCCATGGAAGAAAGACTGAGTGATCTGCTCATGTAAACATTACAGTCTGAGCAACCCTTTAGGGAAGTTCTACTCTGTCCTATCCTTGTTCTGTATCATAAAGTTATATGCTAACAAAGATAAGTATTACTTAAATATCTCCATGTGATGTTTTTACAAAGAAAATACTTTAGGTCTCAATATTTTCCTTAAAGCTTTAAATTATTATTATAAAAATATTTAAATAAATATAGAATTAATAGTTTTAAATTCTTATTTATAACAGTTGTTGTTGCTGCTGTTATGTGCTGTTGAGTAGTCTGTGATTCATAGCAACCCTATGTACAACAGCCCTAAACCCTGCTCTATCCTGTGCCAATCTCACTGTCTCTAACACACCTATCCTCATTACCCCAGTCACTGAATCAACCCATCTCATAGAGGGTCTTCTTCTGCTGCACTGTCCTTCCACTCTCCCAAGCATGATGTCCTTCTCCAAGGACTGGTCCCTCCTTGCAACATGTCCAAAGTATGTCAGACAAAGCTTCAGAATCCTTGCCTCCAAGGAGCAGCATGGTTTAACCCTCTCTAGAACGAACTTATTCGTTCTCTTAGCAGTCCATGGTATATTCAATACTCTTCTCCAATACCACAAATCAAAGGAATCAATTCTCCTTCTATTCTCCCTAGTCATTGCCCAGCTCTTTGACATATAGCAAGTGATTGCAAATACCATGGCCTGTATCAGGTGCACCTTAATCTCCAGAATGACATCATTGCTTTTCAATACTTTGGAGAGGTCTCTAACAGCTGACTTTCCCATCACAATACATCTTTCAATTTCCTGGCTGATGGTGCCAAGAGTGTTGACTGTGAAGACAAGCAAACTAAAGATGTTAACAATCTCAATCTCTTCACCATCCATCCTGAAGCTACCAACTAACTGGACCAGTGGTGTGAAAATTTGTTTTCTTGATATTGAGCCTCAATCCATATTAAAGGCTGCAGTTCTTGACCTTCTGCAGCAAGTGCTTCAGATCCTCAGTTTCAGCAAGCAAGGTTGTGTCATCTGCATAATACAGCCCCACCCCCCAGATAATCTGTTCTGCATATAGATTGAAAAGGTATGAAGATAGGACACATCCCTGGCATATACCTTTCCCAATTTTGAACCATACAGTGTTTCCTTGCTTTGTTCTGACAACTGCCTCCTGGTCCAAGCATAGGCTTTGCATTAGCACAATCAAGTGTTCTGGGACTTCCATTCTTCTCAGAGTTAGCCACAGTTTGTTGTGATCCACATAGTCAAACACTTTTGCATACTCAATGAAACAGAGACAGACATTCCTCTGGTACTCTCTGCCTTCAGCCAAGATCTATCTAACATTAACTACAATATCCCTAGTACCACGACCCCTTCTAAACCCAGCCTGCACTTCTGGTAGTTCTCTGTTGATGTACTGCTCCAGTCATTTTTGGATAGTCTTCAGCAGAATCTTGCTTGCATGTGCAATTAATGATATTTGATAATGTCCACACTGTTGGAACATCTTTCTTTGGAATGGGAACAAGTATAGATATCTTCCAATCAGTTGGCCAAGTGATTGTCCTCTAGATTTCTTGGCATAACATGGTGAGCACATCTAGGGCAGCATCTGTTAGTTGAAATATGTCAATTGGTATACCATCAATTCCTGGGGCCTTATTTTTTGCCAATTCTTTAAAAGCAGCTTGAACTTCTTCCTTCATCACCATAGGCTCTTGCTCATATGTTGTTTCATGAAATTCTTCTGTGTCTGTCAATTCCTTTTAATACAATGACTCTGTATACAACACTGGTCACAGCATAAGAAATTTGCGGCAGCAGCTTGAAGCGTTTAAAATTACAGAAGCCCATAAAGCTTGAGATACAAGCTATCACATCAAAGGCTGGAAAATGGGACATAGGTGTTGAAGGGAGTAGGTTGGAGTTGAAGTGAATGCCAGTGGAGCAGGGAAATGGGTGGGTCAAGACACTCATGTCAAGGGCGGGGACAACACTGACACTGTTGGTTATTTCTACAATTGAGGAAATATCTTTTATCTGTTTTTTTCCATAAAATGCCTGTCTGTCAGATATTTTTCTAAATCTGAGCATTCAGATTAAGACAGACTAGGAAGAAGGATTGGCCATCCACTTCAGAAATAGCAGGCCTCCAAAAACCCTATGTACAATAGAATTCATTTATAGCAGTAAAGTGTTAATATTTTCACAAAAATCTTTCAAGATCATCAAACAATCATAATTATTCTTCTTGATTATATAGATGGCTCTGCAAAGTTTTAGCTTGCACAATTATTTTTATGGTCCTACTTGTGTTTCCAACCCAAAGGCATGTAATTCAGATCCACCAGCTTTTCATCATGAGGAAGATGGGCAATCTCCTCCTGTGTGATTTACAGCATCTGAAAACCCACTGGAGGGTCAGCTATGTGTCGGCTGTAACTCAATGACACACCACCACCACAGTATCATTGTGCAAAATGAGAACTGCCTGTTATTTCTAATCTTTATTATGCTATCTTTCTCAATTTTTAAGTTATTTACTAATGTGCTTTTAAAACTCTAAACATAATGCTTCAACGATTTAGATCCTTCCAGAAGAGCTGTGGATGAGCATTAACATTACTGGTAAGTATATTCATTTTCTCCTGGGCACAGAGCCTACTAATTGGTCCTAAAAGCCTTCTGAGGTCCCAACTCTTTTCACTATCTTTTAGTTGTTGGAATGGACGGAAAACCTCATAAGCAGTTCCTTATTTCACCTCTACCTTGCAT